AGCCATGAGAGGCAATATCAACGTTTAAAAATCCTCAGGCAACAACATATATCATGCGCAAATCATGCCGAGGTCGACGGCCCGCTCCAACATAAATGTAAACTGTGCACTGCGGAGGGTCGAACGGCTCGAACCATAGATGCATCTATTTAATCTGTCGAGGCGTTAGGCCCGTTCCATAAATAAACACATACCCTGCTCGCGAATCATGCATGCGACGCAGTTACACATAGAGATACATGCTCAATCAGTCAATTAAGAACCTATCGGGAATATTTATCCAAATAAAACAATTTCTCTTCTTAACAATTCAGAAAAAATGATGTTTAATCTCCTCTTAAATTCATTTACTAATCCAAGGTGATTTAAGCAATTAAAGCTATCAATAGGTTCATAAAAAAATCCAAGTATAACATGCTTTTGGGCCCTAACTACCCGGACAATAGCATAATAGTAGCTACACACGGACTCTCGTCACCTCGTGCGTACGTAGCCCCCGTAAATAGGAGCACATAATCAATTATTTTACCTATGGGGACAATTCCCTCTTACAAGGTTAGAAAAGAGACTCACCTCGCTCCGAAGACTCAAAACCGGCATTCTACATTCCTCCGAAGGCTTGCACCAACGCACAATGCTCCAAAACTAGCCAATGATTATACAAATCCGTTAATATATGCTTAATTATTCATTACAAACTAATTCATAGAAATTCCTAACTCCGATCGAAAAGTTGACCAAAATGACCTCGGGCCCACGTGCCCGGAATCCGAAATTTTTGGAAGATAAAGATTACCCATGACCTTATCAACTCAAATATACAATTTACTCCTAATTCCATGCTCAATTTCGTGGCTAAATTCCAAGAATATAATTTCCTAGGCTTTCCACCAAAACCTCAATTTTTATACTAACTTTCATGCCCAAATCCATACATAATTGATGTATTCAACTCAAAATAGGTGTGGATAACTTACCTTAACATTGATGATGAAAATCCCCTCTTGAAACTCCCCAAAAATCGCCCAAGCCTTGAAGAAATGAGAGAAATGAACTTCAACCCCGATTTTAAAACAAACTTTCTGCCTCCAGTTACTTTCGCTTCTGCAGAATTATTTCCGCTTATGCGGTTCCGCTTATGCGGTTCCGCTTATGCGGTTAAAATGCCGCTTCTGCGGCTCCTTCCCAGCCGCCCAGCTTCCGCTTCTGCGCTTCCTTTTCCGCAGGTGCGGTCTCGCATCTGCGGCTCCCTGACCGCATCTGCGGTCCCAGCTCCCCTTACCAAAATCCGCATCTGCGGTCTTCCTGGCCGCTTCTGCAGCTCCGCACCTGCGGCCAAATCTTCGCAGGTGCGGAAATACTAGATATCAGCTGCCTCAGCTTTTCTTCAACTCTAAATTTGATCTGTTAACCACACGGAATCCACCCAAGGCCCCCGGGACCTCAACCAAACCCTCCAACCAATCCCAAAACACGTTACGGACTTGCTCGAGGCCTCAAATCCTAGCAAACAATGCTAAAACCACGAATTTCACCCCGATTCAAGCTTTATGAACTTTGAACTTTCCAACTTCTACTTCCGATGTTTAGACTTATCAAATCATGTCCGATTGGCCTCAAATTTGGCACACAAGTCATATTTGACATTACAAACCTACTCCAACTTCCGGAATCGGATTCCGACCCCGATACCAAAAAGTCCACTTCCGGTCAAACTTCTCAAAAACCTTCAAATTTCTATCTTAAGCCAAATGGCTTCAAAATGACCTACGGACCTCCGAATTCACTTCCGATCGCGCCCCCAACTCCAGAATCACCGTACGGAGCTATTCACAGTCTCGGAATCCCAAACGGTCCTCGATTACACTGAAATGCACTTCAAGCCAAACCGATGAAATTTCTTCTAAAATGCTAACTTCCACAATAGGCGCCAAAACACTCCCGGGTTATCCAAAACCCGAACCGGGCATACGCCCAAGTCTGAAATCATCATACGAACATGTTGGAACCTTCGGATCCTGATTCCAAAGTCGTTTGCTCAAAATTCCCATCCTAGTTCATTCTTTCAGCTTCAGGCTCCTGAAATAAGAATTCTCTTCCCAAATCAACTCCGGATTTCCTGAAACTCAATTCCGACCGCGCGTACAAGTCGCAACACGTGAAATGAAGCTATTCATGGCCTCCGACTGCTGAACGGAGCGCTGGGGATCAAAATGACTGATCGGGTCGTTACAATTTTGGTGGCAGGTTGTGATACCAAATCATTGCTCCCTTTGAAAGGGTTTCTCCAAACTTTTTCAACAGTACAGATTCGGTTTCATCATCTTCCAAGCCATTTCCCTTTATTCCGCACGTGTACGAAGTGATGTATTCATCAGGATCGGAGGTCCCGTTGTACTTAGGTATGTCCGGCATACGGAACTTCTTAGGAATAGGCTTCGGAGCAGCACTTTGAGGAAAAGGCTTTTGCACGAACTTTTTTGAATCCAGACCCTTTAGGATCAACTCGGGAGTTGTATGTTTCCACTTTCTTATCATTAGCTTCGATTTTCTTCTCTCCTGAATCAATTCTTTTGGTGAGCTCCTCGAGTATTCTCATTATCGCAGGATCAGTCCCTGATTTGTTACTATTCGACCTTTTCGACACTGGCTCGGTACGACGAGTGATTTCTGGCTCGACCCCACTTGGAGTTCCATTTTGATTTTGCAACTGAGCAATAACGGCCTGCTGAGCATGTAGCATCTCGAATATCACCTGGAGACTAACTCCTTCGTCTCCTCTGCCTTGTGTACCTTGACCACCAGATCGCACTTCCCTATGTACACTCCCTTCGGGATCCGCACCTGGTCCGTATTAAGAAAAACGTGCGAACTGACATCGACTCGATCGGCAACCGGTTCTCCCCCGAGATTAGCCGATGGCACCCCGGCTCCTGGAGCAATTAGATTATCATTTTCCCCGTGAAACCTGAGACCATCATCACCATGTGCGGGTGCATTTTGTGAGTTTTACATGTTTTAACCTGAGAGCAAAATTCTTGACAAGAACAAGCGTGAAATAATGTATGTTATCGGAATCAGCACTGAACAATCACTATTATCCTTAGCCCCACGGTGGGCGCCAAACTGTTTACCCTAAATTTTGAGTAACAATTAAACTTATATTGTGGTTTTAAGGATATGTAATTCAATCCGATACCAATTGATAAACAAGAAATTAAATAGATAAATAAGAGAATAAAATAAATCAAACCAGTATGCTAGCCAAATTTCAACCTCGACTTGCAGTAGTCTCGAGGTGTGTTAAAAGGAATAGCAAATGATAAAGCAACTCTGATGAACAGTGAGCGATATAGCAAGAAAGAAATAATTGTATATATTCTTATCAGTGATTAATGAGTCTTACAAATGAATGGGATCCCTCTTTATATAATAGGGGAGTCCTAAATAAGGTACACTTCTAATTATAGTAGGAAATTATATTAACATCTAATTAACCGCCGAAGATCAATCCATTCCGAAATTCATGCCACGATCTTCGATCCGTTGGGGATGTCTCGCCCTTTCCGTTAGTGAACTATACCATCATCATTTCGAAGTATGCCCTCTTCTGACCCCGGTTAGTGATGTCGACCTCGATCTTGGAAAGAAACTTCGATCCCAGACTCGACGTCCTGACCTTTCGACGTGGTATCTCTTTTTGATCAAAGGATAAAATCGGGTAGCCCCGATTTTCACCGTATATAGTTTTTCTAGAAAAGTTCTCAAAAATAAATTAATCAAATATATATTTTCTGATACTTATTCGAAATCTTAATGCAAATACAAAAATCTACTCATTTAGTTTTTAAAAGTTCTTCTAGGACTAGTTTTAAAAAATAAAAGAAAATTAAATCCAAACTTAGGAATCAAGACTGTTCCAAGCTTATCACTAATTTAATTTTTGTTTCAACATGATGATGAAAAAGAAAAGGGAAACTGGAATTGGCTATATGATATTTCAAGTCTTAGATTCAGATTATTTAATTATCTTGTTGTTGTTACTGTTTGTTGATTCTGTCTTCTTTTGCCTTTTTTCTTGAGCTGAGGTTCTTAGGAAATAGCCTCTTTACCTTCACAAAGTAGGGGTAAGGTAACCGTACATACTATTCTCCTCAAACCCCATTTATGAGATTACACTGGTGTATACGGGTAAAACCGACTCAATGCTCGACCGAGCTCGATGCTTGACCGAGCTCGATGATTGACCGAGCATCTGGAACGGTAACTGGATAGAATTCGAAGTTACAAAAGAAACCAAGCTCGATATCGAAGTTCAAAGATCGATCTAATATCCAACATAGTCAGTACATGACGATATCGGACTTGAATGTGTTGCCGAGGTCATCAGACTTGCCCTCGTATTTATCGAAGGGATAACCGATCTCGTTCCCAACGACCTTGAAGAAAAGCTTTGCCAACTCTTTAGAATAGGGGTCCATAATTCTAGCCACCGACTAATCATTATGGCATAAATCACAGAATTAGTCTAAAAAGGAACCAACAGTCGTCTAAATCAAGGACCTATGTATATTATAAAATATTGTCTAAAAGGGTAGATCTCTCTCAATAAATAGAGGGGACTCATTTGTTCAAACAACATATTGTAATACGCTTCTATACAATATATTGTCACTTCTAGTTTCAATTCATTTTTGCTCTGTCTTCCATAATATCATTATTGGCTAAAGGGAAATCAATCTCATAAGGCCAAAGTTTGCTCCATTTGTGAAGGTTCTATCTATCTTTTATTTGATCATTTTTACGTTAATCTATTTTCTCACCTTTGTATCAATTCATATCACATATCCTTAGAACCGTGTATAAATTCAATTGTTATCCAATTTTAAGGGTAAACAGTTTGGCGCCCACCGTTGGGCTAAGGATAATAGTGGTTGTTCGATACAAGCCTGCATAACACACTGCTTTACTCTTGCTCTTTGAAGTATCTTTGATTTTAGGCTAAAAATGGCAAGCTCTCAAATAGAACCCCCACATATCGACAAAGAGTCCAGTCATCAAGATGAGAATAACAACATGGCGCCCGGTAGCGCAGGGCCACCCGCTGTTGCAGTCGAAATTCGGGTCCCAGATCCGATTGATGTTATCAGCACAAACTTTCATACGACCCTGAAAACAGCATCCGTGGTGGAGCCTGATCGGCAGCTCGAAACACATAAAATGCTGAAGAAGACGGGATCAAGCTACACATGATTTTCGAAATGCTGCAAGCTCAACATGTGGCGATAGCTCAGTTGCAGAGCTAGAGCCAGACTCCGAGCAGGAACAAACCCGATCCACCTCGAGAAATTACTCACAGAACAGAACCAACTGTAGTGAGGGCGACTAAACAAGTCAAGTACCAACCCCGAAATAATAAAAATGCTCGAGGAGCTGATGAAGCGGGTGGAATCGGGGGGAAAGAAGATCGAAGCAAACGACAAGAAGGTCAAAACCTATAACTCCAGGGTAGATCAAATACCGGGAGCACCCTCGGTATTGAAGAGACCCTATGGTAAGAAGTTCGTGCAAAAACCTTTTCCTCCAAGCGCGGCCCCAAAACCGATCCCCGAAAAGTTTCGTATACCCGAAATACTTAAGTATAACGGAACGACCGATCCAAACGAGCATGTGACCTCTTATACATGTGCCATCGAAGGAAACGATTTGGAAGACGATGAGATCGAGTCTGTTCTATTGAAAAAAATGGGGAGATCCTGTCAAAGGGAGCCATTATATGGTATCACAACTTACCTCCTAATTCTATTGACTCGTTTGCTATGCTTGCAGATTCTTTCGTAAAAGCGCATGCAGGTGCCATCAAGGTCGAAACCAGGAAATCAGACCTTTTCAAAGTTAAACAGAAGGATAACGAGACGCTTAGGGAATTCGTGTCCCGTTTTCAAATGGAACAAATGGACCTGCCACCGGTCACCGATGATTGGGCCGTTAAGGCTTTCACTCAGGGACTTAATGTTCGAAGCTCTATTGCTTCACGAAAATTGAAGCAAAATTTAATAGAATATCCTGCCACTACATGGGGCGATATGCACAATCGGTATCAATCGAAAATCAGAGTCGAAGATGGTCAACTCGAAGCCTCTTCAGAGTCTATTTATCCCGCCGGGACCCTCGAGACAATCAAGAGAAACTCCAATCACGAACCAGGATCAAACAGGGATCAATACGACCATATAATGAAGATCAAAGGAGCAGCGGATCCGGTCGAAACCATGTAAGAAACCAAAGGAGAAATGAATGGTTAAGAACTACCTAGCAGTTGGAATATAACTCACCTAAAGCGATACTATTGCTAAGGTACGACCTCCGTTCGTTCTCTTTTGTTAATATTTCAAACTAACAATTGTAGTTAACCGGCGAAGAACAATACGGACTTAAGGTCAGAAAGCACTCGTTATATTCTTTTTCCCTTGAACCGGTTTTCTCTCAAATGGGTTTTTCGACAAGGTTTTTAACGAGGCAACAGTGGATCGTTCAAAATTAGAACAATGGATCGGTGTTATATGTTGCGTCAACAGTATTCGAGGCTTCTTTCTATGATAAACCTCGAATACTAGGGGGCATCACCTTCGGATATCGGCTACAACAGAGAAAACAATTCATATTAAAAGGTCCTCGAGAAGACAAAATTAGTGGATCGGCCAAACGGCCAAATGAACCGTGCACGCGTAAATTGCGCAAGCCTTAAGCATAAAACATTTACGCATGTATGATTGTTTTACAGGAGAATGAAAAGAGGTCCCTCAAAGAATTTATTGCATCCTATTTCTATGAATATATCGAGCTCAAGGGCCACTTCAATCCGAGTTCGAGCAACCATTCTCACTCAGGGACTATCTATCGATCCCAAGGGCTACCTTAACTTTGAGTTCGAGCAAATCCTTACTCGACTACAAAGCCCAAGGGCTACCTTACTTCGAGTTTGAGAAATCATGCTCACTCGACTGCTAAGCCCAAGGGCTACCTTACTTCGAGTTTGAGCGAATCCTCACTCGACTACAAAGCCTAAGGGCTACCTTACTTCGAGTTCGAGCAAATCTTCACTTGACTACAAAGCCCAAGGGATACCTTACTTCGAGTTCGAGAAATCATTCTCACTCGACTATAAAGCCTAAGGGCTACTTTATTTTGAGTTCGAGAAATCATTCTCACTCGACTATAAAGCCTAAGGGCTACCTTACTTCGAGTTCGAGCAAATCCTCACTCGACTATAAAGCCCAAGGGCTACCTAACTCGAGTTCGAGCAACCATTCTCACTCGGGGACTATCTATCGAGCCCAAGGGCTACCTTTACTTCGAGTTCAAGCAAATCCTCACTCGACTACAAAGCCTAAGGGCTACCTTACTTTGAGTTCGAGCAAATCCTCACTCGACTACTGTCACGACCCAAATCCACGTGAAAGACACCCGACACACTATCCGACCCGAGCGAACCAACCCATATGATGCACCCAAACCATACGCATGAAAAACCAATTTAACTGCGGAAGCTCTTTGAAAATTTTATATATTTTAAAGTTAAACCATGGAACAATTTTCCAATTCAAAATCATACCCGAAGCCTCTCATAATTATAACAATGAGAGTAAGTAAAATAAATATCTTTCATGTATGTCACGTACAATCACATTGCTACAACTTTTCACAACTATCTATGGAGCCTTTATACCAAGGAATAGAACTAAACACTTGGGCTAATGCCCGACTAACATAAATGAAGAAATGACATGATAGCTACCACGAAATAGGAGTGGTGCCTCGCCATATACCTCAGAAAGAGAGTCATCCTAGCCATGTCCGTATGCCATGTGCCATACCTCATCCTGAAACATGTAAAGTAAGTGGGCCCTGGAAGGGAGCCCTTAAGGGCTGAGTACACCACAGCGATACTCAATAAGTGTCATAGACTCTCTCTAACTCAAGTTCTTGGACAAGATTTTACAAAAACTATGCAACCAATATTGGACATAAAGTGATAAACAATTATATAAAGCAAGCTCTTTATCATTTTAGATAAAAGACAAGTAAAATGTCAGCCATACTATAAAGTTTTAGAACATCTCTATCAACCCAATATTTTAATAAAATCATATAAAACCATTTCAATCTCGTTAAATCATTGAAATTATTTTCGGCTCCTTAGGCCTAAACATAAGAAAGCCCTCTTTTACCTTTCACTCGGAGTACTATACCGACATCGACATAATAAACAACCACTAGGTGATTGACTTACTTGTCTGGGCGGCTTCCCTTAGTGCCGTACGAGTCGACTTAACCTCATTACTTCAAGTAATGATCATTTGCCATCTCAATTGGGGACTTTATCCCACAAACCTCAGCTTGGCCTTGTAATGTGTCCCTACACCGGCACATGTAGCTCCATGGTAACGAACTCGACATTCGAACCAATCTCGGTGGTCTCCACTAGTAAATCCCTATATATTTGATATTTCAGAAATAGATTCATAGCATAATTGCCTCAAAGGATCTATTTTTATCAAATCATGATTTTCATAGTCAATCCAAACCATTTGAATAAAATCAAATGAATAACCTTTTTCGAGCAACCATTCTCACTTGGGGACTATCAATCGAGCCCAAGGGCTACCTTTACTTCGAGTTCGAGCAAATCTTCACTCAACTACAAAGCCTAAGGGCTACCTTACTTCGAGTTCGAGCAAATCTTCAGTCGACTACAAAGCCCAAGGGCTACCTTACTTCAAGTTCGAGAAATCATTCTCACTCGAATACAAAGCCTAAGGGCTACCTGACTTCGAGTTTGAGCAAATCCTCGCTCGGCAACAAAGCCCAAGGGCTAACTTACTTCGAGTTCGAGAAATCATTCTCACTCGACTGCTAAGCCCAAGGGCTACCTTACTTCAAGTTCTAGCAAATCCTTACTCGACTACAAAGCCTAATGGCTACCTTACTTCGAGTTCGAGAAATCATTCTCACTCGACTACAAAGACTAAGGGCTACCTTACTCCGAGTTCGAGCAAATCCTCACTCACTCGACTACAAAGCCCAAGGGCTACCATACTTCGAGAATGGTTGATAAATCATTCTCATTCGACTACAAAGCCTAAGAGCTACCTTACTTCGAGTTCGAGCAAATCCTCACTCGACTACAAAGCCCAAGGGCTACCTTACTTCGAGTTCGAGAAATCATTATCACTCGACTATAAAGCCTAAGGGCTACCTTTACTTTGAGTTCGAGCAAATCCTCGCTCGACTAAAAATCCTAAGGGCTACCTCACTTCGAGTTCGAGAAAATCCTTACTTGACTACAAAGCCTAAGGGCTACCTCACTGCGAGTTCGAGCAAATCCTCACTAGACTACAAAGACTAAGGGCCACATTAACTCGAGTTCGAGAAAATTCTCACTCAAGGACTATCTATCGAGTTTAAGGGCCACCTTAGTTCGAGTTCGAGAAATCACTCTCACTTGATCACTATCTATCAAGCCAAGGGCCACATTGATTCAATATCGAATTATTATCCCGAATCGGGGACTACGTATTAATCCTAAAGGCTGCCTCAGTTTGAGTTCAAAGAAACCATTCTCACTCAATTGCAAAGCCTAAGGGCTACCTTAATTCAAGTTCGAACAAATCATCTTACTTGGTATGTATTTATCGAGCCTAAGAGTCGCCCCAGTTCGAGTTTGAACATTCACTCAGGGATTACCGATCAGAAACGGTCGACGGCAGTACTTACTATCGGTCCTTACCAATGTTTTAAAAGGTGAGGGCGTGAGATGAGGCGTTTGACCTCAGACGAGGCGAGCGTAAGACCTGAGACATGGGGTGTAATTCCCACGGATCTTTAAATTTTACTAATTTCAAGAATTTTAAGATAATATAAAATAAAAAATAATTATAAAAATTGCATTAAAATTACAAAATTATAACAAATAATCTATTTAAAATATTTATAAATTATAATTCAACTATGAATAATACAAAAAGTATGACATACATCATAATATGCAAATTAGTTGCAACGTCGTTACAACTCAAACATCAAAAGTAATGTATTCGATGCAAAATCTTATATGTATCTCTTAAGGAGTAATGAATTTTGAAAGTATTTCGATATTATAATTTAATTTTTTTTTTAAATACTCCTTTTATTTAATATGCTTTCTATTTGAAAGAGAATTTATATAAAAATATAATTCGCAATTTAAATAT